ACACACACACACACACACACACACACACGCACACATACACAAAACACATATACACACACACACCGTGGTCGTCGCAATATGCGTTTTCGCATTTGCATATATGCGAAAACGCATAAAAAGACAAAATCCACCCATCTTTGTTGCTCAAAAAGTTAAAGGCATTTGAAAATAGCCAGCTAGTAGCTGTTAGAATTATAACCTGCTAAATTGATGATGTCTTCTTTTCGCGAAGGTTACACAAAAACAAGTTTTTGACTTCTTGAAGTAATGAAATTATTCAAAGTTACGTGATAAATGGAGGAGTAGCACTGTTATCATGCAAGGAACAGCAAAACCCTCTACGACTCGTTTCGGTGGTAAATTGGTACTGCAGATGCCAAGGAGTCAAACCAGCCATCAGCTTGCTTTAGGCAACTCTCAGAAGAGCGCACCATCGACAGCCTTGCCAGCAGTGGCTGTTGTTGGCATTTGCTTCTATTCGGGCTACTTTTCGAGCACTCCGTTTCTCACTGAGGGCGAAATACCAGAGGATTTTGACTTTTAACCTTTGAGGGGAAAAATTTATGAAAACATTAGGTGTTTTGCAGCTCAGCATATGATCCTAATGATTAAAATGACCACAAACTTGGACATATCCACATGGACGGTGTCCTGAAAGTGAATGACACGTGTGGGTGTATCTTGATTCTCACGCTGCGCCAGTTCGGCATTGCTTGGTACATCGACAACCTCTTCGCTGGCATTTTGTTCTTTTGGTTTCTCAAAAGCACGCGCCGTTGAGCAACCATCATGATCACTCGCTTGCTTGCCTGAATGTGTTTGCCAAACCTTTGGAATTCAGCAAACGAACACTGGAAAATGATGCCTAACAATCGGGAAGTTACTTTGGTTACTCTTTATGGCATCCGCTCAAAAGCTTGCATCTCTCGTCACTGTTTAGGGGTGGTGACTTTTGAGAAGAAGCAATAATGCTTAACAGACATCAAGGAATCTTGAAAAAAAGCCTTGCCAAAAGGTCCTGTCGATAGCCCCCCTGAGGTGGAAATGAAATGAACGTCAAGATAAAAGCAGAAGCTTGATCACCAGGCATTATTAAGCAAAGTGGCCGGGAAAGTTGGCAGCTACATGGATGAAGAATATAAATTTTGCCATGTATTCAAGCACTAGAGTAACGATACACTGGGTAGTGGCACTACTATCGTGCAAAAAGCTTAAGGTCCTGCTTCGTTGGTAGGAGAACCAATTCTACAATCCTCGTGTTTTTTTCCTCGGTGGTACATTGGTATTGGCGTATGTCAGGAAATCAACTCAGTCCTCAACTTGCTTCTAAACGACTCTGGGAAGAACAGGCCATCGGCAGCCTTGCTAATGGGTGGTTGATTTTCTCGAAATACTTTTCGAGTGCCTTCACTTCCCTTCACAAAGAAGGTTTGATTATAAGTGCTGTCATTAAATAAGTGCATTAGTAATGCAAATTTATGTGGGAAATCGAGAAAGTTGTGTCAGAAGTATGTCAAAAGTTTGTCAACGATTTCCTAGCATCATTTTGTATATATGAAGTTCTGCATATATTTAACAGGCAGATTCTTATTTCTTGTTGTTCTTGACAGTTGAAGAGAAAAATTCTTGCATTTTGGGCATGTATGTGTGTTCCTGAAATGTTGTTTTCCGCTAAAGAGGAAGCCAAGGTCATAAAAATGAGAACAGTGAAGTGGAGAAGCTGTAAATAATACAGAACTAAAGGGAATTTAATATTTCAGTGAATTAATTTTCTTAATCTTCATACTAGTGCCACCTCAGAATAATGAACTAAAAGGATTAAGGCTCCGGGAGGGTGAGATGGCAAATGTGCTAAAGCTGGACTGATCCGGCCTTATCGTTGTTGAAATATTAAGCCGTGGAAGATGAATTGAAAAGAAAGCGGCCGCTTTTTTAAAAATTGACAAATTTTTCAAAAAAAAACAAAAAATTAAAAGTGCCGGAAAAACTGGAAAAATGTAGTAAAAATAGGAGTGTAACGATGTTTTTGTCGTTTCAAATTGAATAATGCTTTTTTCAACTTGTTTTGTCATTTCAAAGTGAATAATACTTTTTTTGCCATTTCAAATTGAATAATAC